TGTAAAAAAATGTCAAATTTGCACCATAACCTGTCAAATTATGATACATATCTGGACGAGTTATGAAAAAAATTTCAATAATGTATCATAAACATTCAACTTATTGTGTATAACCGTACAAGTTGTAGACAAAAACTCTAAATTAGGTTAATAACTTGTTATAACCAGACAAGTTATGTTCGAGAATTACCTGTAAAAATATGCAAAATAACTTGAAACTTGTTTACTAATTAAAATTAAAAACCAATATAATATGTACCACAACTAGACATAAAACACGAATCTGAAAACCAACAAGTTAATCCATATAATCATCAACAAGTTAAAAACCAATATAATATGTACCACAACTAGAAATAAAAAACGAATCTGAAAACCAATAAGTTAATCCATATAATCATCCAAGTTGCACTCAATGGCATCTGTTGGCGTCATAAAATTCATTTTTGGGGCATTTGGAGCCCTGTTATCATCACTTTCATATCCCAATTGCTGCTTCCGCAAGCCATGCTTGAACAACTCAACTGTCATCTTCTTGCGGAACAATGTTCCAGCCCCTTCTTCTCTCAAACAATCATCAGATCCGGCTTCCATTAATATCTCAGCCATCTTGAGCATAAAAATTCCACAATCACCACTACAAAAAACAACCACCAAAAATCTAACAATTAGAAACAACAAATATAAATGCAAAAATGAATGAAGGGAAAATAACAAAACATTTAAAGATAAAAAAAACTAACCCGTTCTCTTGTCTTGGACAATCGTCAAATATGATCTCAAAAGGTTCAAGACGATCAAATTGACTTGTGAAATACTTTTTCGCATGAGACTCAAAGTAGCCAACAGATTCCAGCAAGTGGGGGAGAATGACTGCCAAAGATTGTACAGAAGCACGGACTTGCTTCTCTATCCTCTTTGAAAAAAGAAAATCATACAACCTAATACAATGATCTTTGAACTCTACATAACCTAAAATCCAATGCTGCCTACGCTAAAAAAAAATAGGTACAAGAATAATGTCCACCTCACAAAAAGGCAAGCTACAAAATAAATAATCTCCCAACACATAATCTTGAAGAGCACTATGTGAAGAGAAATCAAAACGAGACCAATCAAAATCCTTATGGTTTTTAGAGCACCATAAGCCACTAATTCTCATGTAAAAATGTGAGTCCAAAACCAAACACCTAATGTATAGCCTGTTTTTGTAACACACCATCTTTTTTCGCATTTAATATGTGGCTACATCAACATGCTATCAAAACAAAACAAAAAAAAATTATCAGATTTGTTACAAAATAAAAAAAAAAATCATGCATAAAATTTAAAAAAAAAGGAAGAATCTTACCGAGTCAGTTAGCCAACACTTTGATGTCCATAAAGTTTGAAACCAATGTTTTGAATCAACGGTGTCAACTTTAAAATCAAAAGGAGGCTTTATCATATATGCATCGCTGGCCGGTCCCCACGCTTTTCTTGAGATCATATTACTCTTATACCATGATAGGAATCTTTCCTTGTCCTCCTCTGATGCATCACTGTCAACAATTTCAGAGAATGGACAAAAACATAAAAATCGTTCATCTATACATTTAATAGGTTCTTGTGATGTTGTTGCCTCATCATACAAAATAATCCTTTGATAAGAACATTTATCGCCTTCCTGGGCAGCTTCATGAACAAGATCCCTCAAAACTGAAGCAATTGTATCTTCAATTTTTTCAGAAGAAACATCCACTTTGTCATCTTCTTTCTCTGCAACTGCTTCTTCAATTACTTCTTCCTTTATTTCTTCAACTTCTTCTTCTTCCTTTTTTTCTTCAAATGCTTGTTCTTCCTCTGTTTGCTTGTTCTTCTTAGAAGAAAATGCATTGTCAAACTTTTCACCAATCAATTGAATCGCAGAAAAAATTTGTTCTTTGAAATCTCTTCGAAGGGAAGAAACTTCAACAACCAAACTATCAGTTTTGGCCTCCAAGGAAGCAATGCGCGCCAAAACTTCAGAATTATCAAAAGCACCCTAAAAAATGCAAAAGATAACAAAATGAAAAAAGTCAAATCATAATGACAAACACAACACATCAAGCTATGGAACATAACCAATCAAGTTATGTGAAAAACCTGTCAATTTATGGATAAAAACTCTGATTTATGGACAATAACTCATCAAGTTATGGTTCATAACCAGACAAGTTATGGACAATAACCGTGAATTATGGACAAAAAAATCTGAATTATGGACAATAACTTGTCAAGTTATGGTTCATAACCAGAAAAGTTAATGGACCATAACCTGACACGTTATGGAGGATAACATGTCAAAACAAAACCTCATTTTCACATAACTTGATTTTCAGAAAACAACCTTACAGTTCCAATTGTAAATTGAAAAATGAACAAAAACAAAACTAAACAAACCTGATTTTTTGGAGGAGGGATAAATGGAGGAGAGACAGTTTCAAAATCTTTATCGTCCTCCTTCAAATCACAGCTACTAGAAGCCAGAACATCCTTTGCCGACTTCTGAAAAAAACCGTCAAGATAATTGTAGAGACGCTCTGATTCAATTGGTTCCATTGAAAAATAAGAGAACTGAAAATAAAAAATAAAAACATTAAAACAAAAAATAAGCAACAGATATTAATAAAAACATTCAAACATGAAAATTTACTATAAAAAAACTACCAAAACAGAAGTCTAACCTGGCCAATTTTGTTGTTCAACACATCAAATGGCTTCTTCGAATAATTTTCATCCGTTGACCATTTGAAAATTCAGGGAATAGGCTTATCAATTAACTTTTCTAGTGCACAAATGCCACCAAGGTGTGGTAGACATTCATAAGCCCAAACTTGAAAAGTAAAGGCCAAACCGTTGATCTTATATCCATCTACGCGTCTCTTCTCATTTCGAAATAGAACCTTATCATCGTGCTTGTACAAAGTCTTAATACCAGATTTCAGACTTGCAAAAAGTAAATTAAAAGACAATCTACCCCAAGGAAAATCGTTAAAGTTAGGGCTATCAACAATTCTAATCAAATCATCATCAACCTCCACGTCCTGGGGCTTAGCTAAAAGAAAAAGTGACACAAAATATAACAAACCCATTTTGACAGCTTCATCATCACTATCAAAATGAACAGACTCAAAACAGTTCTTAATAGTAGCCCTCTTTACAAGCCCTGTACAATGATCTTTGAAATATTTGGTATGTCTAGAAAAATCAGATGAATTTACATAACTTGAGAAGTTTACATGTCCTGGGCACTTTAAACCAGAAATTAATGCAAACTCGTCAACAGAAAACTTAGTAAAAGAATCACAAAACTTGAACCATAGCTCATTTGTATTTGGATTGTGAACCACATGAAACAGTAACTCGTGTATCAGCTGACACTGGTTACTGTACTTTACCAAATCCAAAAACCGACCAAAAATTGTTCTTCTGAACAAATCTTTCTGACTTTCAGAAAACTTTTTGTTTAATTCCTCTATAACAGCAAAAGAGGATGTTATATTAACCTGGCCTCAAAATCTCTTGTCAGGATTAATACGATACTTCCAAGACTGTAAAAATGAAAAAAAAATGAAGAAAAATAATATGAGGATAAACCTAAAAATACACGATCAAAACACACAAAAAAAAAAAACCAAACAACAACAACAAATTCCATATCCTAAATTCAAAAATCTATAAACTAAGTTGAAAAAATTAATCAAAATACCTCCAAAGTGTTACGAGTGGGAGAAGGATGAGCAACTTCTTTGGAACTTTTTTTCTCCATAGCAATTTTCTTGTTCACAACCCTTGAGCGTTTACTCGGAGTAGAAACAGAAACATTGTCCTTCCTCTTGCTTTGTGTTTTTACCATATCTTAAACAATAATATATAGAATCACAAGATCAGAGAAAGAAAAAAAAAACCAAAGGAACGCGAAAAAAAAAACTCATACAAAAAAAAAACCTGTCAGAGAATGCACACTGTCAGCGATGATAGATAGAGTTGCAGAGCTAGGAGAAAGAAATCGCAGTAGACGGACGGAGGGAAGAAAGACAGATCGCCGAAAAAGAACGGAAACAAAAACTTAAAAAATCGCAGGAGATCGCCGGTGGAAAGAAAGAAATCTTGGAAAGAAAAAACTGTCTTAGAGAGAGAAAACAGAAGGCACAAGTTATGCACAACAACTAAGTAAAAAAATATGAGATACGGTTTTTAAAATATAATCGAATAAAAAATCTGTAAATTATGGACCATAACCTATCAAGTTATGGTCCATAACTTTACAAGTTATGCACAAAACCCGAGTAAAAAAATCTGAGATACGGTAACCGAATAAAAAATCTGTAAATTATGGACCATAACCTATCAACTTATGGTCCATAACTTTACAAGTTATGCACAAAACCCGAGTAAAAAAATATAAGATACGGTAACCGAATAAAAAATCTGTAAATTATGGACCATAACCTGTCAAGTTATGGTCCATAACTTTACAAGTTATGTACAAAAAACCGAGTAAAAAAAATCTAAGATACGATTTTTAAAATATAACCGAATAAAAAATCTGTAAATTATGGACCATAACCTGTCAAGTTATGGTCCATAACTTTACAAGTTATGCACAAAACCCGAGTAAAAAAATATAAGATACGGTAACCGAATAAAAAATCTGTAAATTATGGACCATAACCTGTCAAGTAATGCTCCATAACAGCATAAGTTATGGTCCATAACTTAACAAGTTATGCATAAAAACCTATCAAATTAGACAATAATCCATAAATCACAGTTTTTTTTAACTATTAAATGCAAGGATTTCTTTTATTATTAAAAAAATTTGAATATTTTTCCTTCAAATCATTCAATTCCAACTTATAACATAAAGACAAAAAATCAACTTAGACCATGATGATCAGTTCATATCAATAGTTTGGACAAGTCCTCCTATTGTGGCCAACTTGCTTGCATCGACTACACTTCACAGATTGCTTCTCTCATTCTCCACTAGAAAGAATTCTTTGCTTCCTTGGCCTCCTAGCGCCACGTTTAAACTCAGGAGGAAGAACAACCTCCACCTCACTGCCCTCTGAAATTTGCCACTTTGATATATTAGTAATATGATAGATTGCAGCATCATATGTTGCTTTGAATGCATTGTTGGTGTAATAGTATGAAGTAAAATATGCTGGATCAAGATTTCTTTTCCAAATCGATGCAATAACATGTGGACATGAAAATTCATCAGCTTGCCAAACAAGACAACTACATGTTCTTGCCACCAAGTCAACCATCTCACCAACTAAACCATCAACAACATAATACTTATTGATATCAATGGGTTGAACCTGAAAATATGACAAAAAGATAAGAAAACAGAGCATTCAAAAAATAATAGAATAACTTTAAAAAAAAAAACCAAAAGAATCACAAAAAAGATCACATAAAAAACATAACCAAAATAATGAAACAAAAAAAAAGTAAATAATTGAAAGAAAAGCAACTTACAGATAAACAACGTGCAATCTTTTCCCTATCACGAAGGTATTTAGTTGCATGTTTACTCAAGTATGTAAAAGTCTGATCCGCCTTATTACGACGCTCATAAAACCATCTTTGTAAAAGGGATCTGAAATGCTCAATTAAAGCTTCAACAGGATACTCCCTAGCATTCACTAAGACATTATTCAACGACTCAGAGATATTAGTCTTCATGACATCATATCTCTTCCTCTCAAAGTGAGCATGTGCCCACTTTTCAACTCCTACTTGCAGCAAATAATTTTGAATAGCTGGTCGAACTGCCTCCAATTGATGCATGAAGTAACCAAAGTCTTCCTTACGGTATGCCTTGGCACAACGATAGAATATAACATCCACATGCACACCTTTAAAATTTGAATTCAAATTTCTAAGTAAATGCTACATACAAAATCCATGAGATGAATCTGGAAATACCTTTTCAACTGCTTTAGGGATACTACTCTTTCGGTCAGAAACAATAACAAGCTCTTCACGAGTTCCGATGGCCTCCTTAAGCCTTTCAAAAAACCATTCCCACGAGGAGTCATTCTCCGAATCAACAATTGCAAAACCAAGCGGAAAAATATGATTATCAGCATCTAAAACTGCAGAGAGAAGCAAGGTCCCAGAAAACTCATTCTTCAAAAAAGTGCCATCAATTGAGATCACAGGCCTACAATGGCGCCAACCATGAATAGAAGCCCCCAAGCACAAAAAAAAAATACTTGAACCGCCCATCATTGTCAAGCTCATAAGAAGTCACAGATCCTACAAAGAAAAAACAAAAAAAAAATTTAAAATAACTATTAGTCACGGAGAAATTAAACTCTTGTCAGTGAATTAAACATTTAAAATAACCCACGTTACATATAAATGTTATGTAACTAATAACTATATCATGCATAAACTGTACAAATAGACAAAACCATAAGCATAACACATAAAAATAAAAATCATTAGGATTACTCTCCTTGAAAATATTGCACAGAAAAGGAATGGATGCATACGACTCCATTGCACTTCCTCTCATTGATGCTAACGCATATCGGCGAGCCATTCGCGTTTTGTAGTAACTAATCTCAACACCATGCTTACCATGCATTATATACCTCAAATCATTAGGACGCAAACGGTCTGCATGCCCAATGCTAAAATCGCCCTTTAAAAACTCTGAAACAATACGACTATTTGCTTGACGATGCTCAGCACTAGCAACATCAAGTGAACAAGTATGTTCCTTAATATACTTCTTCACTGCCCAAACATTACCATTTGAAACCTTAGCAGCACGCATCTTCCAAGTACAACTCTTATTTTTACAAACCAAAACATAAAATGAATTATTAGATCTTTCAGATTTAAATTCAAAATGCCTCCTAATAGCAATTACATGCATGAATTTCTTGAGAACCGACTTGCTCATGAATTGATTGCCTACATTCACATCAAACGACATAGGTAACTTTGAAATATCCAAATCTTCAATCAAAAAATTATTCATCGCAACATCAATATCATCTTCAAATTGACAAACGGAACCATCAACATTAGAAGATGACGCCTCATCTCTTGAACTAATAAAACAAGATGAAGAAGAAATAGATCCCACTGCACTAACGGAGCCACTAACAAAATCTATTACCAACGGGAATCCAAGAGCTTCCTTACTGTGTCGAACCAAGTTTAAAAACAACTTAACATCATCATCCCTCTTAAGGTCCGAAACAATTTTAATTAGGTCCTTCAACTTCCTTCCCACAAAAAGTAATAAAGAATGAACACCAGCATTAAAACCAAACAACTCAAGATTCAGCTCCTCACATAAACACTCCTGTAAAAACTTCAAAGAAGCATCCTCTGGAATAAAAACTGAGTGAAAACCAAAATTTGTATATTGATTTTCTAGACTCCATTTTCCCCTATAAGCAACAATGACTGAAACAGATTGCATGCCTACAAACATATTGCAGGAACACTGTCACGTTAAAGTACATAACCGGACAAGTTATATAAAAAAATCTCTCAATTATGGACCATAACTCATCTAGTTATGTTCCATAACCGCACAAGTTATAACAAAAACTGTCATGACTGAAACAAATTGAAAACAAACCAAAAAAAATGCAAAACGAAGAATCGACCGGAAAATGAAATTACAACAAAAACGAAATTACAAAAAAAAAAAATAGAAATGAAAAATGCCAAAACATGTTGTTCCGTAAAAATCGACCGGAAAACAGCAAAAAACAAAGGATTAACGGACAAAGAAAGAAAACAAACCGAAAAAATGCAAAATATGAAAACGAAAATACAACAAAAAAAACTAGAACCTGGTAAAGCACCGGAACAGCTGCTCAAATCCAAACGAGAACAAGAACTACCGACCGACGAACCTGTTGATCCACCGACGATTCACCGACAAACAAATGGAAAACCGATGATCCACCGACGATCCACCGATGAGAGACAAAATCCGAGCGCAGTTACGAGAGAGAGAGAGCTGCGAGAAGCTAGAGAGAGAGAGAGATCTGCGACAGAGAGAGAGAGAGAAAGACAGAGACGATCGAAAGAAACAAAGGAAAAAAAAGGGTAAATTTGGAAATTTAAAAATTATGGCCTATTAATTTTCAATACTAAAAATTGACCTATATGCTTCCTTAAGGTTTTAAAATTGGCATATTCTCTACTATTTCCCTTAAACTTAAGTGCATGGGCGAATCAAGAGTTGCTGTCCTATATTTTTTATTTCGATGGCTATCTTTTTAATAAAATTTTGATACATTGTAAATTATTTAAGTATATTTAGTATTTTGTCTTTAATTATGCAGTAGATTTCTAAAATTTAGACGACATAATAAATAATTAGTGTAGAAATAACCACAAAGATAAGAAAATACGGACAGGTCTCGTTCACTTCGCGGATTTGAGTTTTTAATTTGAGTTAAGATGTGGCATTTTCTAAGAGTTTTTAATTGTATCAAAAAAAGTTAAATATAAAATTTTATGAGTGTTTTTAACTGTAGAAACCTAAAATTAAAAATTTGAATAAGTGAAATAAACAAGACCTAAATTTAGACTCGTACATGCACAAGTCATAAAGGGACCCTTTAGAACAAGCTAAGCATTGACCAAAGTGCACTTGAAGACCAAAATTACTAGATCTTAAACAGTACCATAATGCATGCCTTGTATCCTCCAATCCTTCTCAGCATCTTCGGCGATATACATGATAAATGAGTTACTGAACATTTTACACCATGTTTTAAGTTTATTTAAAAAATATACTCTTAATTTTTTATCTTATTAAATATATACCGTCACGTTATATTTAATACTATTTCTCAGTCAACATTAATTTTGACTTAAAAAATGGACAAAATACCCTTAAATTTTAAAAGTGAAAAAAACAAAATAAAAAACCAAAAAACTTGCCCCTTCTTGATGAACGTTTATCAAACATCTCCTCGGTGTTCGTGAGCATGATATATTAGGATTCTTTTATACTGCCAGGAGAAATATGTTTAGTAAGGAGATACGATAAATTGTGAAATTTTATGTTAAAATTTATAAATTTAAATAATAAAGTTATAAAAGTTACGATAATTTATACTTTACGTTAAAATTTATAAACCTGAACGATTTATCATAAAATTTAAATTTTTACAAATTATCATTTGAGTTTATAATTTCATCGTTTGAGTTTATAAGTTTTGACGTAAAATTTTATAAATTATCATATCTCCCGGTACGGTGCTAAGAAAAAGTGTCATTAACAGCATAAAATGACCCCTTCTTTTATTAACTATTTATTCTTAAGGACATAAATTTTAACAATTTTCTATTTGCACTTAATTGAATAAATGTAATATTATTTTATTTCTATCGGTGCTGTTAAATTTATTTTATACTATTAATAATTTATAAATTATTTTTATAATTTGTAAGTTATTGTTTTATAATAATATTAAAATTTTGTGTACTAACATAAATTATAGAGTTGGAAAACGGTTAATTTTTAAAGTTAAAAACTTGACTAAAAAGAGAGCCACGTGTTTGAAATGGTGTTAGTGGAAGTAGCAGTAGTAAAGAAAAGAATCTCATCATCAGCTCATCATCAGCTCATCTTCTTCTGAGTTCCGAAGGGAGAGAGAAAGAGAGAGAGAGAGAGAGAGAGAGAGAGACGATCGTTTCCTGCAACAATTTTGAAAGAAAGGATGACGAGCACCAGAATTCAATTTCAACCAACGGCTTCAGCGCTCTCCTCCACAATCAAACACCACTTCCGTCCCCTACCCCTCCGAAACGCCGTCGTCTTCAGACCCACACGTACTAGCAATGGTTACGGTTATGGCTATGGTGGAACCACTACAAGCAGAAGTAGAAGAGGCCTTTCCGTTTCAATGTCGTCTGCTTCTACCACTCCTACTCCCTTGGAAGTCTTGGTCAAAGCTTCCGTTACTTTCCCCGACAAGCTCGGCGACTGTAAGACCATACTTCTCACTCTCACTCTCTCTTTCTGTTTGGTTCTTGAGAAAAAATAAAATAAAATTTTTTTCCTACCGAAGGAAGCGTTTCGAGAAATTTTGACGGTAACAAACTCTTTTTTCCTTTTCCCTTTGGTTTCTCGTAAAACAAAAAAAAAATGTGGTGAAGTTGGGAAGAATTTCGGTCTTTTGTCCTGTTTGCTTCTCGAGAAAAAAAAATTGATGAAATTTTTTTTTTTTTTTTTTTTTTTTTTTTTTTTTTTTTTGTGTGTGTATTTTTGTTCTATACTTAAGTTTCAAACAAGCGTTGTAGTCTTATTTGTTCTATTTTGACCCCATTAGTAAGTGCAGTTCATAATTTAGGCTTTTAAAATTTTTTTAATTAGATTACGCAAATATGTAATTGGTTACTGAAATTTGGGCTACATATGTGATTATCTTTATGCAGGGGAAAAAAAAAATTTCAGAGGATTGATCAAAATTGAGGGGAAAGTAAAAGATTAATGAAAATCCACAAATAATAACACGTTAAAGTGGTTTGCTAACTACATAAACAAGTTGTCAAAAATTGTAAAGAGGATTGAAAGATTAAGAATCTAGTAAGGAAGAATGAAATGAGTTTTCAATCATAGAGGTGTTATTGATAATAGAATGGGTCTCATATTTGTGTTCATCTGCTTCTAGTCCCTAGTTAGAGTTTGCTGTTTGAGTTGAAAAACAAATTTGTGTTTTAAGAGGTTATGATACTTTTTAAAGTTAATGAGACTTATCAGGCACGATTTTTAAAGAACTTAGCATTATTCTTTCTATCTGATATAGGTCCCTTTTGCCAAAGGGTATTGCTGACTCTAGAGGAAAAGCATCTTCCTTATGACCTAAAGTTGGTTGACTTGGGTAACAAGCCAGAATGGTGACTACTCGATGCCCTTTTTTTGGATTCGTTGTTCACTAATTTCATGCCTTCTGCATGTTTCTCTCACAAGCAATGTTTTGTTTGTTACCTGATTGTTTCTTTTCAAATTCTTGTTTTTTGTATCTAGGTTTTTAAAGATCAATGCAGATGGTAAAGTTCCTGTTATAAAACTTGATGAGAAGTGGATTGCAGATTCAGATGTAATCACGCAATCATTGGAAGAAAAGTACCCAGAGCCACCTTTGGACACCCCACCTGAGAAGGCTTCAGTGTATGTTCCATGTCCAGAAAAAGATGCATTCGTTTTACCTTGTATACAGACATGTGTTAGTAATATAGGATGATAAGAAAGAAGGAGAATAGGAGAGAGAAATAAATAGTAAAATTAAAGCATATAATCTCCATCAACCATGTTGAAGCGACAGAATCATCAATCAACACATTACTAAAGCTATGTGACATAATCATCAATTAACTTTTCTAGATTTTATGTTTAAGGGTTATATAATGTTCTGACCTTTAACTTTTACTAATTCATGCAAGCAGCAAAAGAAGAACTTAATGTTAAGGAGTTATACAGTGCAGCGACTTTAGTTCCTACTACTTGACGCAATCCATTAACATGGTTGTTATAGCAGAGCAAAAATAGTAGTACTCTGCAAATTTTAAGCATCTATGGCTAGTCGTTTAAAAATTTCCTAATTGCTAAGAAATATATTTTTGGGAAAGGTGTTCCATTGATTTATTTGTTTGTTTATTATTTTGTAGCGGGTCAAAGATCTTCTCAACAGTTATTGGCTTTCTTAAAAGCAAAGACCCCAATGATGCAACAGAGCAAGCATTACTCCGCGAGCTAAGTGCTTTCAATGATTATCTCAAAGACAATGTGAGGCATCTATCCTTTTTCTAGTCTCCCAGATATTCGGTTCCTTCACATGGAGAAAAGGATTATCAATAACCTCTGAATTCTGTCAGTTGCCTTTTATTTATATCTTCATTACCTAGTCAAAACTGGTTTTCATAAGATTCATTGTCGATTTAGAAAGAAACGGCAAGTTATTCCTTCTTGCGATGATGTTTATTATGCACCAAGAATGCTTATTTGACTCTGGCAGTCCCCTAATGTGTCAATTTGAAAATTTTCCTATTTGGATTTTATCAGCAAAATCTCGGCTGAAAATTAGATATGTCTTCGGAATCAATCAACTTATAAGGCCATAAATTTTTTTATGCTTCATTTTACTGAAACTTATATATATACTCTTGGATAATGTCTCCAGAATTAAGAGAAATCAACATATACCGAATAGTGAAGAGGGTGAACTTCAAAATATTTGCATCAATATTTTACCAGTAGATGGAAAAAACTGCTTAAATCCTTTTCGCTTTATACCGAACTACATTCGTGCTGCTCATACTGGAGCTTTATATGTATTTTTCGTCTTCTGGATTTGATCTGTTCTTGTATTAGCACACGTAGATAAAGCAAATGAATTTGTTAACACCTCCAAATAATTTCATTGTTTTGACTTTATTTTCTTTCTTGAAGGGTCCTTTTGTCAATGGGAAAGATGTTTCTGCTGTAGATTTGTCACTCGGACCCAAGTTGTATCATCTAGAAATTGCTCTTGGGCATTATAAAAGTTGGTCAGTTCCAGATTCCCTTCCATACGTGAAATCTTATATGCAGGTATGGTCAATATGTGCTCAGCCATCTTTCATGATTGATGTGTACCCCATTACCATTGCTTATGAATATAACTTATATTGGTCTTTCCAGTTTCCTCTTTTCCGTAACCAGAATTGTGGTTTGCAAAATTTCTCTTTCTCCCATGAAAAAATTCCCACTATTAGCATTACTAGCAAATTTGCATGTTTGATGCATGTTAGTTGTTTCTGTTGTTACTTTGAAGTTTGACCTAGAAGTCGAAGTATGAATCCATCGTCAAAAATAATCCTCGTTCTCAACCTTGTAATTTGTTGGAACGTATGTTTGAGATTTGAATTTCTTGTTTGCTGCTTTACTTACGAGTAACTCAACTGTTGAAATGGTTCTTCTGACTTGTATGAATGATATACCTCAATGTTTATCATATAAGGCCTTGCGATCATCTCTTGGTTTAATCCCATACTAGTGTCAAGTCAAAAGCTTTTATATAAGTTCATATGAATCTCTATATCTGTATATCATATCCTTTTGTTGGATTGTTCTGAGTTTTTAATAACGTTGAAGTTGAATTTCTTTTATGCAGACAATTTTCTCAAAAGATTCATTTATTAAGACACGTGCACTACCAGAGGATGTTATTGCGGGTTGGCGTTCAAAGGTTTTGGGTTAAATTTGTGCATTGTGTTGTATTCCCTTTGCATGAGTTTCACTAAAAGAAAAAAAAAAAAAAAAAAAAAAACAGTAAATAGGTAATAAATTTGTTTGACAGGTATTGTTGCCTGAATTATAATCGAAATCTTTTCAAAAAAAAAAAAAAAAAAAAAAAAAAAAAAACAGTAAATAGGTAATAAATTTGTTTGACAGGTATTGTTGCCTGAATTATAATCGAAATCTGTATGTGCTATTAACTGTTGAATTGAATTCACGTTTCTGCATATATAATCGGCCATTCGGCCTTGTAGTTATAAGATTGCTCGATGTTGGATGAAAAACTTGAGAAAGAAAAAGAAAACTTTTATTTCGGAAGGTGAAACAATTTTATTTTATGGAAATAGTAGAAAACATGTCAATATGAAAAGCTTAAGAAAGTATATAGGCCAGTTTTTAGTTATAGAAATTAATAGGCCATAACTTGTCAAGTTATGGTTCATAACCAGATAAGTTATTGACAAATTTGTCAAGTTATGGTTCATAACCAGACAAGTTATGGACAAAAACAGTAATTTGGCATATTTATTAATTTATGTAAATTATTGACCTATTAATTTTAATTCATCTCAAATCTTGACATATTTTCCTCTTTTTCCTTTTATTTTATTTTATTTTTTTGATGGACAAGACACCAAAGAAACAAAACACCAACACGGATTCCGTCTGATATGACAATCTTTATTTGCTGTTAGAAATTGCGGTTGAATATCTAGAGCTATTTGCAATCGATAAACCCCTTTAGCTGAATGGCATCATGAGGCAGCTTATCCGCCATCTGTCTTTGATGAACGATTAACAAGCCTGCCTAATAAAAATCTCTCTTGCCTTGATTAGTACTATTTAAGCTAACAATAGCATTAAGAGTGGCAATTTAGATCAGGACAAAACTCAAAATCCGCAGAGTTTGCGGGTTTTGACACAATTAACACGATTAATAAATAGGTTGAGTTCGAGTTGACTTTTGTTTCTATACCGTATTAGTTTTAGCATTTTCCCCATGAACTTCAATAACTCTTGCAAGTTACCCATTTTATTAAATTCGTACTTATGCAATTGTTGTTGGCCACCATTGATGATCCCCAAAGTTTATTAGGTCAAGCAAATTAAGGAGAAAGCTAGGTATAATAGAAAAAACGACAGCCGCTGTGTAATTTGTACTTTCGCGAGACTATATGAGAAGTTAAAAGAGTAATTATTTATCAAACTATTTAACAACACTTATTATTTGTGCAAATAGATGTTAATTTTGTTAAAAATTTTAACATAAAGAGTTCTTTTGTTAATTTTTGTATTTGACGTGACATTTTCTGTTAATAATTTAACAAAAAGAGAAAATTTACAAGAATTAGAGAGAGGGGGAGGGAGAGAGAGAGGGAGAGAGAAAATTTACAAGAATTATAGAGAGAAAGAGAGGGAGAGAGAGAGGGAGTGTAACGCCCTCCGGAATTAAACTTGTTTAATTATGATAATTGTGGTTTATTAGTGTGCATAAATTAATTTTCTTAATTAATCATGAATTTTTAAATTTATTCTTAGTATTTGCAATTTCACCCCTATTTGTTTTATTTATTTTTCCTTAATATTTTTCCCAATTTTCTTTTCCTTCTATTTCTCCTTTTCTTTTTCCTCATTTCTTTTTCCTTTCCCTTCCTCACGTTACTCTCTCTCTCCCTCTCTTGATCTCCCGAGCTCTCTCCCTCACACTCTCTCTCCCTCTCTCGCGCTCTCTCTCTCTCTCTCTCTCTCTCTCTCTCTCTCTTCCTCTCCCGTTCATCTCTCCCTCTCTCCCTCTCAAAGTTTTCCTTCTCAAGGGCCGGATTTAAACCAAAAACAGAGATTTCTAAAAGATTTTTAACATCAAAGCTTTGATCGAGGTAAAACTCTTTGAAACTTACTTTAAATTTTCAGATTTAGCTTTGTGGAACTCGTTTTAGTCGAGTTTGGTGATTTTTGGTTTAAATTTTGTTTTCAAATGGAATCCGAATGGGATTTGGTGAAACCTTGATAAAAATTGGGGGTTTTTGATTCTTTAGACCCCATTTGTTGATTTGAAACTGGATCTATACATTTCCCTTGAGAATATGTCGAAATCAGACCCAAAATTTCAGGTTTTGGCTTTATTCCTCGCGAATCGGCCATTGTTGGCCCTGGAATTCTTCCCCACCGGTCAACCGGTCCGGTCGACCGGTCACCCTTCCATAGGTCGACCGGTCACCTCTCCACCGGTGTTACACTCCTCTGTCACCGGTCGACCGGTTCCCACTGAAACCGACCCTAAATAGTCCTAAAACCCTGTTTTGACCACGAAATTCGATGTGGGATTGACCTAACCTTATTTGAGAACTCAAAATTAGTGGATTAGCCACATGAATCCTTGTTTTCCATTCGATTCTCTGGAATAAATTTCCATTGTCAAAGAATCATGATTTGAATTAAGAATTGTTTATGAACATTGATTTTGAACTATGGCACACTAATATGAGTCAATTGCATCTAATTAAATGAGAATGTTTGATGAGAAGGGTCAAACTCTAAATTGTTGATTTTGATGGGAAAGATAGTGGCACGATTGGAATTGGAGCCTCAAAGGAAAGCGGAGACTAGGAGGACAGAAAGCTAAACCAAGTTTGATATCCAACAAGTAGCATATTCTTGTCCATATCCTTGTTAGTCTTACTTTAAATGGTTTTAGCCAATGAAAATGTTTTAGAACAAAACATGATTAAAGAAAATGATTTTAAAGAAATAGCATGAGAATGCTATTAAGTTTTCCAATGATTTTGGAAATGAGATTTCAAAGCGCATCATTTTTTAAAATGAAATATTTTAAGGAATGATACAATGTATGGTGGCCACAGAGATCGGGATGTGAGAATCGCATCCTTGGGGGCAGGTCCCGAAACTCGTACGGATCCACTTCTTGTTTAGTGGAATTATGGCTCTGCACTTTTCATAGATAGACATTTTTACCGCTTCTTGTTTAGTGGTATGATGAGCTGTACACTTTCATTATACAGATATTTTATACTGTAAGTATTTCCTTTTCTAAAAAGGGATGATCGGTTCCTGGTGTATATCTTCAGACCGTGAGTATCTTTATTTTAAATGCTTTATAAAATTATATCCTACTGGGTCTTTCGCTCACCTTTCTTATTTTCAAATGTATTAAACCCCTCCAGGCGACGCGAGGAGTAGTGCGGAGCAGGTAGTTACTACCGGTGACGTGGACTTGACCTCGAAAAGTGAAGAGTTGTCTTTACTCTTATCTTTTATTTCAAGGCATGTATAAAAGATTATAGATTGTAAACTTAAATATTACTAGACTATGGTTGATGTCACATTTACTCTTGTTTATATTCATGTATGCTAAACACCTGTGGGAATTCCTGACTTGATACTAGAGATGTGATTTTAAACTGGTTTGGTTAGAAATTTCACTACCGTTCTTGAAATTGAATTTCTCCTGAATGAAAAGGGGCTTGTTTAGAAATACCTGGATGTTTTGGATTTGAAAGAAATTGAAATATTTGCTAATCTCTCTCTCAAACAGGTTTAAGTTTCTAAACGAGTCTCCACGTCACTAACCCCGGTTTAGGGACGTGACAAGACTTGGTATCAGAGCCCTTAGTTTAAAACCTTAGGGTTTGGAATTATGCATACATGAATGACATCAGAAAACCACTAAAACAGTCTAGCTTTCTTTTGAGATAAAAGAATGCCGCCGCGCCGTAGAAACCCTAATCCACCGGCGATGCCGAATGAGCAATTCATGGAAGCCATGTACGCCGCCTTCCAGGGGATGGCTACTAGAGCCCAAAATGAACGTCCTGCGGAGGACAAAAAACAGAACTACTTCCGTGAGTACAAGCATAGTTCAATTCCTGCATTCACTAGCGCGGGTGGACCCCAGGAAGCCGAGTATTGGTTCGAATCGGTGTCTAAGCATCTAAGTACCATGAGAGTACCGAATGAGTATTAGGTGGAGTTCGCAGCTTTGGTGGAAGCATATCCGGCGAATGCATGATGTAGAGGGAATGACTTGGGAACAATTCGAAGCGCTCTTTAATGAGCAATTCTTTCCCCAAAGTTATCAAGATGAAAAGGCCATGGAATTCATGGGCCTACAGCAAGGGGATATAACAGTGAGGGAATACGAAGCTAGGTTCAATGAACTGTCCCGTTTTGCTCCTTCCTTGATTGAATCGGAGCGCATGAAATGCCTAAAGTTCGAGAAAGGTCTTAAGAGTGTGATCCGGAAATCAGTGGTAGCTTTAAGGCATCAAGTCTACAGTGACTTGGTTGCAACATCCATCTCTGTTGAACAATAGCACATCGCCTTCCTCCAGGATCGAACAGCTTCAGGGAAAACTTCAAGAGGACCTCAAAGGAATAACAGAAAAAGTCGTGATCAAAGGCAAGGTAGTGGGGTAGTGCCTAGTGGTAGCAGTGGTTCTTCGGGAAGTGGAAAGAGGGGACCCTATAGCTTTAAGTGCCACCATTGTAGGGAGCTAGGGCATATCAAGAGGAACTGTCCTATCAGGAGCCAACAGATGAACCAACAGGCCCAGCAATCACCGCAGAATCAAGGGGGTGTTGCTCCTAGTCAAGATAGACTTCCACAGTTCACGCCTTTCTATCAGCCCCAGTTGCCTGCCCAAATGCCAATTTCTCTTGCACCGATCTTCCGTCCGCCGAACTACTCTTATTTCTGACCACAAGCTTCCGTATCAGTACAGTCTACCCCAACGCAGCAACAGTATAGGCCTGGAAACTAGAGACCTAACAACAATGAGAGAGGAAAAGGAAAAGCACCGGGGCAGATGCATACCATGGCCGGAGGAAGTTTTGGAGCTCATGCCAGAAACCCAGTCGTTGAGGGTATGGTACCTATCTCTCACTCTTTTGCACGAGTTTTGTTCGACACTGGTGCTACGCACTCTTTTGTTTCCACTACTTTTGTGAAAATTTTGGGTTTGAAACCCGATGACTTAGAGACTTCAATGTTTATAAGTTCTCCATTGGGACGTGTGGAGGTGACTAGTAT